AAGTGAAGAACCCTGTACCGACACGTATCTCAAACGTAACGACTATAACGATACGTATATCGTGACTACTGTAAATATACCTATGCCGTACCTATATATCCATAATAATGACAAAACCTATTTTGTAGCTATTGTCATCATACGCCATAACTACTGTAGCCATACCTACGTCATTACCACTGTAGTCATATCTATGTCATAACCACTGTAGCCATACCTACGTCATAACCACTGTATCCACATCTACGTCATTACCACTGTAGCCATATCTACGTCATTACCACTGTAGCCATATCTACGTCATAACCACTGTAGCCATATCTACGTCATAACCACTGTAGCCATACCTACGTCATAACCACTGTAGCCAAACCTACGTCATAACCACTGTAGCCATACCTACAGTGTTGTATATTTTATCGAACTGTTTATACTCCATGCAACCTAACTTATCGTGTCACTTAAAAACCCATATTTGAGAACGAATGTTTTATAATTATGTTATGCCATGAAGATCTGCTACACATGACATTGTATTTGACCTGATGAAGTAAATCATCATACAGTTGATGGTATATTCCTAGGAAGGGGGATAATTGCTGGCAAGGACTTTGATGTCGGCGATTTTATTACCTACTACTATGGAAAATATTGTGTAGACGAACCACTCTCTGACAAATACACCTTTGACGTCACATACAGCAGCCTAGCAGCTTGGCAAGTACCCCAGAAAACAGTTAAAGTACAAGTCAATAGAACTGCGTTTAAATGAATTGTATCAACGCTTGGCACCCAAACCCACTTCTAAGTATCAATGTCATCTAACTGAAATGTGAGCCCAAAATGGATGTGGATGTGTTCAATGCCTATTGACGGAGCATATCAGATCACGTGTTGGTAAATCAATAATTGTGAGTTGGTGTTTCCCAAAATTATTTAATACGCCACTATAGTTTGTCACATTTCATGGATCAGTTGTTCCAATATCTATTTCCAAACTTTTATATTTGTCTGTATTTTCATATTTTTAGGATCGATGCTTCCCAAGAAGATGGATCCTATGGTCGTCTCATAAATGATGAATGGCGTAATCCAAACACGGAAGCGAGGTTAATTTTTACGGACGGACGAGCTCACATTGGCTTTTTCGCTCTCAAATTAATCAAGAAAGGTCACGAAATTAATTTCAACTATGACTATGAAGGACATTTTCAATGGCGACAGGTAATCATGGGGGTAATTCATTCATTCATTGCACAACTATAGTCTGTTTGCAGTGAAAACGTACCGATGAATTTCACTTTAAACAAAAAAGTAAATCGAATAAATGAATTAAGATTGCGAATCCTCATAGTTTTAACTTGCAAATTGAACATTTAAATCTCAGAATTTTATTCAACTTAGGATAAAAGTTTTTTAACAAACGATCATTTGTATCAAATCGCTATTTTTGGTTTGTATTACAAAGGGTTATGTACATTAAATGAAACACTGAGAGCAAGTAGTGTTGGTTTAAGTTAACGCTCATCACGTACCGCACATGCATTTGTTTCACTGCTCCAGTTACTGCGCTTACACCCTTCTAATATACAATTCTGAGATTTAAATGTTCAACTGGCAAAATAATTGGTAAAATTATGAGGATAACACCCCAGAAATACATTTTACAGACTCTTATTGTCATGTTAAACACACAATACTTTCATCAGTTCCCCTATTTTTGACTCGTAGTACATCTTTATGTTTTTATTTCAGGCCTCACAAATACATGTACTTACCAAACCTCATTGCAACCGAACGTCATGGGAAGACGTTTTCCTTCAACCTCACATGTCATTCAGTTCCGGGTGAACAGAGGGACCGGGGTGACAACACGCATTTTGTTACTTCTGTATGGGGTGAATGGACAACACCAAAAGACCCATTAACATTGTTGTTCAATTTGATGAATAAATTAGCTGGATACAGTCATTTATTGTCATTACCCGTATTTGTTTAATTTATCACTAAATGAGTCATAAATATCATCTCGAAATACAGCATTATATGTGACGTTTTTGCTGCACGGATGACGGTTATAAACAAGTACATTTGGTTTAGCTATGACAATCACCTTTGAGGATGTTTCTTCCTGTACCTCTTCCTACGCCATATACTTTTCCACCAAGTACTCCGATAAATACCTCACTACTCCTTATTCATGAATTTAATGTACTGAACATTTTGTACTGTTCGGAGAAGTACAGCTCCGATCTATCGATTGTCGGTGGAGGTCGTCAAAGGCAGCTTACGGTAAGACCTTTTGTGCTAAGATGGCTTATGTGTTCCTGGGAGAACTGACTGACTGAGTTTGGTTTTACGCCGCTCTTAGCAATATTCCAGCAACATCACGGCGGGGGACACCAGAAATGGGCTTCACAAATTGTACCTATGTGGGGATTCGAACCCGGGTCTTCGGCGTGACGAGCCAACGCTTTAACCACTGGGCTACCCCACAGCCCCTTCCTGGGAGAAGCAAGACATGACTGACACATAGCGATTCATAAAGACGAAAAGTCTCCATATGACTTTATGTCAAAAAGGATTGTTTTTAACTTTCCAAACATCAACTTTTCCTTCATGTCTAACAAACTTCCATCCGTGCGTACATTTTCAGGTACAATGGAGAAAGCTTCCAAAGAGCGTCATACGACGTCATTAGATGTTTGATCAAGGTTATAATATTCAAGGCCTCAGTATAGCTTCAAAATGTGTTATGGCTGACATATCTAGGACACTTCAAAACTAGATCAGTGACAACAATGAGGTCCAATGCAATTCCCAATTTTCACTGCTACCATACGTATATGCTCTTTTGAATCATCGTATCTCATGATGTCAATCAGTGGGTTCTCTAGTCTAGTCCAGTTCTCCAGACTTTATTGTTAACAGACATCGTCGTACAGCTGCAATACAGCTGAAGGCAGCGTCAAACACATACACATGATATAGACAGGATTGTACAGTGGACCTTGTTTTTAGCAGAGGTTTCTTGTGTGGAAAGGGTTTTGTCGTTTCTATTTACGAAAGATGGAAGGGTGTTGTTGTTTCGATTTTGTCGTTGTACCTTGATTCTTGACATACATCTCTGAATTGATATCTTTCCCGAGTCTTATTTCAGTGTTCTTCATCGATCGATAGGTATGTTTTGTAGACTCAGTATTTCTGTAAGCAGCATACGCAACTGCTCTAAGTAACATCCCAATGCTGAACAGCTTACACTTTTGTCAGCATATAACACACTGCTGAAGAGCAAATGGGATGAAGTCAAGAGACGGCACAAAATGCTTCACATTATGTATTCTACCCATGACATGTCCTCTTTTCTTGAAAATATATCTGATTGAAAGTTATTCTTCATGCGTTACAATTTATAGCACCCAGCTGATGTCATCACTGATTTCCAGTGGTGCATTCATACAAATTCCACTGCTAATTTCCCCTTTAAGCTGAAAGGAATCTGTCCTAAGGATAGTCAAGACTAGGTATTCTTTTACACTCACATTTTATGTTTAAGAAATTTATATCCCCATGGGTTGTGATAGTTTTTTAAGAGATTTACTATATCAGTTATCCGGGCGAGAGAGGTGATTGTTACGCGTTTCTAGAAAGCAGAACATATCAACCCAAGTTTACTGTTTTAGTGATAGCCGATGACTGTGTTATTATGTAAAAGCTTGTGAAAGAATACGGTCATTTGCCTATAACCGACGTCTTGACCTACTTTGGTAAAGGTTTCGTAATAGATGTTCGTAGATCTATACAACAGTGTTGCACCCTCCCCAGCAATTTGAGTTTCTTCACTGACGAGTTTCTATTCTCTCTGAAAACAATGTCAATGAAAGGGCCTAGGTTTTTCAATAATTGTTAGTGAAAGTAGGTAACTTGGAGGCGTCGTGATGTCAGCCCATTAGAATGTAATTGAAACAACTTGTTTTATCGTAGGATGAAGCACAGTTGGCGTCTTCTCGGCATCTCGTGAAAGGTCAGAGGCCCCTTTTCACTGCAGTAAAGTGCTACTTCTCATGGGCTGACGTCACAACGCTGTTCAAATTCAATACTTTACTTAATATATCCTTTTATCGTCGTTCTTTCCTGACTTCCATGACACAACGACATCACTTACTGGTGAAATAGTTATCCCCTTGGAAGAAACATGGCAAGGTAATGTCAACCATATCTCATACGGCGAGTATTTACCAAATATATTTAAACCAATATATCCGTGCCACAGTAGCCAAGGACATTGGTGCCCAAAGAATCACAGCTGACTCAGGACACAGGCATGACCAATCCTTAAAGAGTTGCAGAGCCACGTACATTCCTGCTGATCAGTGTGTGCCTTTGTGCCAAACAAAGGATATCACGACTTACTGTTGCTTCGGTCTGCTAATATGAGTTATACAAACTACTATTAGGTAACTATTGTAACAAAACATTATAAACTTACAATAACCGGCAACATAGCACGTCGACTCTGTTCAGGCGTGTTGGTTCGGCACAACAATGTGGTATGTGGTTTATTCAGCTGAAGCAAGTCAGTATAAAATTTGAAATTGAATTTATTTTATTGTTGCAATTGTTTTCGATAACCGCAGACTTACTGATTAATAATAAGGATCCTATTTGATCATATTAATGGGGTTATAATTATGTTTGAAACGTACGTGGTCTCGGATAATGCATCGGTGCAAACAATCTGGTCGAACAATCCGTCAGTTAGCCCTATTCCCTGGTGTAAGTGATTGTATGGTAGGTTTAACGTGTCCTGTGCATTACTATCTTCCAGCTGTGGCCAGCCAAATAACAAAGGCTAATACCACAGCATTGAGTGTCAATACTCAAGATTTGTTACGAATGTTTATGGTCCACAGATGTGACTTCTCAAGTACACAATCTGTTAAAATTGACTGTGCGAGTCTTTATCGTTAAAGTCTGCAGCATCTTTGAGTTCATACACTGGCAATGTTTAGGCTGTATGTTCTAGTGACGGTTTTGTTGGCAACGTGGAATAGGGATGAATGTGTGGCACTAACGGTGGCTGAGGTATGTTTTCTCATCTGTACTTTCTGATGTAAACATTTACCTCCATTGATGTGGGAATAAGGCTTGGATGAATGAAATCCTTCCTGCCCACTACACTTTCTTTACTGTCTGTTGAACACGGAATTCTCTGCCGTTTACCCGTATCCAAAGTACATCAGTGGAACTGATTGTATAAAAATAATGAAACCATTCTCACCAAAAATGTACAAATGAGACGTTTTCTTCCTCCACGAGCATATCCGTATAGATGCTGATCTTTGACTGACGCAATACCAATCTTATTCCAAGCGGACCAGGGAGCAGATCAAGCTGGCAAGGGCAGCTATCAGACGCTCAGACATGGCACCTTCATACCTTCGTATAGCCCACTTTGGACACCCGAAGGGTAGTGTATTTAATTACAGTAGCTTTGTTTCTTAGAGTATTTGCCTAGAGTTTGAAGTGAAGAACCCTGTACCTACACGTATCTCACACCTACGATGTCTGAGCGAATAATAAAGCATGCAACTTTAGTGATAACAACTTCTTCTTTATTGCAGAGAGCGATGTTTCGGTGTAGATTCTTTCACCTTTAACCTTCAGCTTGAAAACCAAAACGTCGCTCTGTTCAATAAACAGAGTTGTTATCCATTATCCTACACCTAACTATCGTTAAACATACCTATATCGTAACTACTGTAACCACACCTACATCGTAACCACGGTAAACATACCAACATCGTAACTACGTTAAACATAACTACATCGTAACTACTGTAACCACACCTACATCGTAACTACGTTAAACATACCAACATCGTTACTACGTTAAACATACCTACATTGTAACTACTGTAACCACACCTATATCGTAACTATGTTTAACATACCAACATCGTAACTACGTTAAACATACCAACATCGTAACTACTGTAACCACACCTATATCGTAACTATGTTTAACATACCAACATTGTAACTACGTTAAACATACCTACATCGTAACTACTGTAACCACACCTATATCGTAACTATGTTTAACATACCAACATCGTAAATACTGTAACCACACCTACATCGTAGCTACGTTAAACATTCATACATCGTAACTACTGTAACCACATCTACATCGTAACTACGTTAAACATACCTACGTCGTAACGACGGTAAACATATGTGCATCGTAACTACTGGAAACATACCTACATCGTAACTACGGTAAACATACAATCATTGAAGTCCAATGGTTAGGGGGGAATGCTCCGCTGGATCCGCCCCTAAATAACATATAAAGAATACAAAGATTATATACACATGACTCCATTGCATACACAGAGAACTTAATTAAGCAGCCCCTGTATTTATGCAATGACAGGTTTGCAAAACGTACATAAAATTTCTCGTGGTGACCATGACGGACAGACATGAATTTTTTACCAGTATGATCCTTTGACTCATAAAAACGGCAAAATGATTGGAATCCATGTTGATGTTATTATTTTAAAACAAACCCACTGATTTTCATACAAAACCATGTCTTTACAAGTATGGCCCTGTAAGGTTTGATGTTGAATTTATTAGTGAATGTGATCATTCAAAATGTCAATGTTTTATACGATTCGAGGTCAATACCGAGTGTAACCTCCATGTGACTGTATGGCAGCCATCACTCTCCTCCTCATACCCCCTGTCAGCCTCCTGGTCCTCTGAAGGGGCAGTCTACGCCATTCCTCGTGTAAAGCAGCTTCTTATTGGGCCAGGTTCTGTACGGGAGGATCCCTTTGTTGCACACGACGACCAATCATGTCCCAGATATGCTTCAAAGGGTTAAGATCGGGGCTCATTCAATCGTGAGATATGTCAGGGATGCTTAACTAAGTTCTTTGTGTATATTTGACCTGATGAAGTAAATCATCATACAGCTGTTTGTTTGTTCTCAGGAAGGGGGATAGTTGCAGGCAAGGACTTTGATGTCGGCGACTTTATTACCTACTACCATGGGAAATATTGTGTTGAGGAGCCAATATTTGACGAGTACACCTTTGACCTCAAGTACCGCCGCCATGCAGCTTGGCAAGTACCCGATGTTGCCTTTCAGGCGAGAAAACAGTTGAAGTAATAGCCAGTGTAAACCGCGTTTAAAGGAATGGGCGGTCCTTTTGTTCCAAAGGGCGATAATTCTCCTTTTGAAATGATCTAAGCGACGGTTTACCGTCACGCCTCTGGTCTGGTTCCGAGGTCCGTGTGCGCTACGCCAGGTCATACGTTGCTCTGTTGCACCTTCATTAACTACTATCATTTACTCCACCGACACCATCGCCTGCGACAGTTTTCGATGTACGAAGCAATTGTTTACATTCCATATATGGCAAGTGTTCTCTGTCTGGAAGCAGTTCGCCTTGACGTTTCAATTATAGATTTCAGGCAAGTCGTAAGGGATAATAAGTCTTGTATTATTATCAACAGGAAGCTAAAGACAGTGCATATGCCCCAATATATAATATAGGCCAAAATATTGTCGAAAATATGTGACATTAAGCCTTTAAACAACGGTCTGATATAACGAAATATGTTTAACTGACGCATGTTTTGCAGCGATTGCAAGTTTAGAACAGCACGATGTGTTTATTCTCCAAGTGCAATTTGAAACCAGACGAAGGGAGATAACGGGAATAACGCAAAGAAAAATTGGCATCTTCTATGTCAGACCTGGAGGCAGTGTTTCCCTCGGGTAACATAGCATCGATAAGAAAACCCATATTGAATATATTGATCAGCCCTAATGTTATTTAGAACGACAATTCCTCACTTATTGTCGTATTCCAATTTTACAAATAGTACCTCAATGTAATTAAATCAGTAACAAAGCCTACCTCTTCAGCCTCCAGACACCCTTTGTAGTGCAGTGGCTTAGGTCCGATAAAACAAATGTTTTGGGTGTGTCCGATGTTTTGGGCCCATTTTCCGAAAAATCCAAGATGGCTGCCAAAAATCAAAGATTTCCAATTCTAAGACTATATGACTTTCCTCAGCTGGATTGTAGCAGAAAACCTTGCAAGACGGCAGGTCTTTACCGTGGATGGTTTGGTTTTTATACATCCGTGACGTCAATGATAATGAGGAAATAGTTTACGTCGTATATTGCATCCATACAGCCTAATCGGGGATAATTCCAGAGATTTTAGTATGTATTCCATGAAAATAGGATTCAGGTTTTAAAAATTTGATGTTTAAGTACTGAATTGCAGATTGCAAAACGTCAACAGATCCCATCGGTACGCTTCGAACGGCCATTAGGTGATTCGCTATTGCAATATAAGCAACCATGGTCATCCGTGATGTGTCATTAACTTCCTGGTAGTACAGCCAGGTGTGCGAGTAGCATGCCTGAAATTAAAATTTCACTACACATGCTTGTTGATTACCTGGCTGTTCTGCCAGGAAGTGGTCCCCCTCGTGAAAAATAGTGATAAGTGACTACAAAATAATGAAGTTTGTTAAACAGCTGCCCCATGTAGATGTAGATGTATGTGGATGTTGATGTTGATGTGGATGTTGATGTGGATGTAGATGTGGATGTAGATGTGGATGTGGATGTGGATGTAGATGTAGATGTAGATGTAGATGTGGATGTGGATGTAGATGTGGATGTAGATGTGGATGTGGATGTAGATGTGGATGTGGATGTGGATGTGGATGTGGATGTAGATGTAGATGTGGATGTGGATGTGGATGTAGATGTAGATGTAGATGTAGATGTAGATGTGGATGTGGATGAGATGTGGATGTAGATGTATGTGGATGTAGATGTGGATGTGGATGGATGTATGATGTGTGGATGTAGATGATGTGGATGTGGATGTGGATGTGGATGTGGATGTGGATGTGGATGTAGATGTAGATGTGGATGTAGATGTGTGGATGTATGTGGATGTGGATGTGGATGTAGATGTAGATGTGGATGTGGATGTGGATGTGGATGTAGATGTGGATGTAGATGTAGATGTGGATGTGGATGTGGATGTGGAGATGTAGATGTATGATGTAGATGGATGTAGATGTGGATGTGGATGTAGATGTGGATGATGTAGATGTGGATGTGGATGTGGATGTAGATGTGGATGTGGATGTGGATGTAGATGTAGATGTGGAAGATGTGGATGTAGATGATGTAGATGTAGGATGTGGATGATGTGGATGTGGATGTAGATGTGGATGTGGATGTGGATGTGGATGATGATGTGGAGATGTAGATGTGGATGTGATGGATGATGTGGATGTGGATGGATGTAGATGTGGATGTGGATGTGGATGTAGATGTGGATGTGATGTGGATGTAGATGTGGATGTGGATGTGGATGTGGATGGAGATGGATGTAGATGTAGATGTGATGGATGTGGATGTGGATGATGTGATGTGGATGTGATGTGGATGATGGAAGATGTGGATGTAGATGTGAATGATGTGGATGTAGATGTGGATGGTGGATGTAGATGTGATGTAGATGTGGATGTATATGATGTGGATGTGGATGTGGATGATGTGGATGTGGATGTAGATGTGATGTAGATGTGGATGTGGATGTAGATGTAGATGTGGATGTGGATGTGGATGTAGATGTGGATGATGTAGATGGATGTAGATGTAGATGTAGATGTAGATGTGGGATGTGGATGTGGATGTGGATGTGGATGTGGATGTAGATGTGGATGTGGATGTGATGTAGATGTGGATGTGGATGTAGATGTAGATGTAGATGTGGATGTGGATGTGGATGTGGATGTGGATGTGGATGTGGATGTAGATGTGGATGTAGATGTGGATGTGGATGTGGATGTGGATGTAGATGTGGATGTGTGGATGTATGTGGATGTGGATGTGGATGTAGATGTAGATGTGGATGTAGATGTGGATGTAGGATGATGTGGATGTGGATGTAGATGTGGATGTGGATGTGGATGTGGATGTAGATGTGGATGTGGATGTATATGTGGATGTGGATGTAGATGTGGATGTGGATGTGGATGTGTGGATGTAGATGTGGATGTAGATGTAGATGTGGATGTGGATGTAGATGTATATGTGGATGTGGATGTGGATGTAGATGTGGATGTGGATGTGGATGTGGATGTAGATGTAGATGTAGATGTAGATGTAGATGTAGATGTAGATGTAGATGTGGATGTGGATGTGTAAAGTGGATATTCACGGAGCATCCCAGATATTGTGTTTCTTGTTAAATCAATAATGTTGTGTGTAAGTGCTTCCCAAAATTGTTTTATACATCATTTTAGTTCGTCTAGAGTCCCATTTCATGGATGTTTGTCATATGTTTAGGATTGATGCTTCCCAAGAAGATGGATCCTATGGTCGTCTCATAAATGATGAATGGCGTAATCCAAACTCGAAATCGAGGTTAATTTTTGTAGCCGGACGACGTCACATTGGCTTTTTTGCTCTGACATTAATCAAGAAAGGTGAAGAAATCAATTTCAACTATAACCTTGAAGGACAATTTCCATGGCGACGGGTAATTATAGGGTTCAATCATTATTTCACTCGTACTTTATGTTGTTGGCAACCGATTGTCTCCGTGTCATTGATTATGAATTCAAGGCATGCACTACCGCCCTATTCGAAAGGAATACTGTGATTAATTATGATATTTTGATCAGTCTACGGCAGAAAGCGATGTCTTGACTGAACTGTTACCAAACCTATAACAAGCCCCATGTATCTATTTTGTTAGATAAACGACATTACCCTATGTATACAGACGAATCATTTTTTCGCCTTCAATTCACAAATGTCAAGAAACGTTGTTGGCGACATCATCTTGCCAGGTCAGCACTTCTTGACCATGATCAGTATAGGGGCGATAGTGTCATGGTCGGTGTCACACATGGCTACTGAGAATGGGCATTTGACCGGCCAGCAATATGATCCTGTCGTTGTTCCGTTCGATCGAGTTATCTGTAGAAATACTGAATAATGCCAGACCACAACACGCTGAGGTCGACACCAAGAGTGTTATCTCCTTCGAGAAGGATATGGACATTGGAATGGCCTGATAGGTCCACTGACTTTGCCCCTAATAGATCACCCTTTGGGTGGTCTCGGGCAGAGGGTGTATGCCCTGAGGACATTGCCCAAGTTTTCGGTCGGAAGTGAGGTCAACATAGAGTCAACTTGTCACTTGCTTGACAACGACATTAGAATCTATGTCGAATCGTCGCCTTTCGCATTGAAAGAAGTTGCATATCCAAAAAATTGGAATCATTCTTCTACACTCAACTTAATCAACAATAAAGGTGTCGCGCCACCAGATACTTATATTCAACGCCCGAAACTAATTTTATAGACCTTTATCCTACGGAACGTTCACGATATTTTCATTAGTTCCCCTATTTTTGGTAGGTAGTATATTTTTTATGTTTATATTTCAGGCCTCGAAAATACTTACCAACCCTCATTGCATCGGAACGACATGGGAAGAAGTTTTCTATCTCACGTAGCGAGTAGTCATTCCATTGCGAGAGAACAGAGACACATTTGAACTGAGTCCGTACCCATTAACATTGATGTTCACCAGGATGAATAGCCCAGTCACTGGATGGATGATGTCCTCCCATTTGTGAGAACTCCCAGTTGTGAGACACATTAATTAATGGTTCAGTGCACATAAGTGGTGTTTCCACATCCCTACAATGAAAGTGGGATCAGACCAGTTGTGGAAGAGTACCCACAGGAGGCACAGTTCATTGATGAGTTGATTAATGAAATAGATTATCAAAGATTATATTTACAAAGAAGAAATAGTTCATGAAATATTTTATTTATTCAGAAGAATATGTAATTATGATAACACATTTTATTGACTATTATGAAGTTTGAAAGTCATTTTGGTTTAAACATATTTTATTATCATTTATGAAAATGAACTGGGGTTGGTGAACAAGCATTACTGCTTATGTTAACACCACTCCCATGCAACATAAAAAACAAAATGAAATGGAGGATGTGACGTCATCGATATTGACTATTGCATAAATATATTTTAACTACATATAAATATATGCAGATTACATCAAATACAACTATTCTCTAAGAATTTCATAAATAGAGACTTACAGTTGTGTGTCTAACAAGCTATTGTAGGAATATAAATCAATCATGAGAAGGTTGTTGAGTTAATTTAAGTATTTCCCTGAGAAAATTTGAAGCGTTGTGTCTTGATGATGTAATCGTGGACGGATTCAACTATTTTCTGCTGGTTTACACAAGAAGTAAATTCTTGTTTCCGTTCAAAATGGTATCCAGGTTATAACTGGTAGTGTAACATACATATTAGTTCTTATCAAGTGAGAAAATAGTGTAGGGCGTTTTTCACTCTGGACTGTCTGTTAAATGTCTGTTATACTTATCAGCGTTTAGGTCGCTACATCCGAGCCTGAGGCGGCAGTGAACAATTTGACAAAAACAAGATCCATAATTAAGGTCAATATAAATCTTATTTTCGGTTTTTGCAATTAGGTTTTTAAATTCTGTGAGACTTCATGACTCTTGGTAGGGCATTCCATAAATTTATTGTGTCGGGTAAAAAGGATTTGGCATAAGAGGCAGTTCGACTGTAAATTCCTTGTATTTCAGAGTTATTTCTTAAACTATAGCTTGTAGTTTCGGAGACGGAGTAAATCTGAGTAGGTAAATTAATTTCTCTTTCAAATGATCATGAAGTTACCTACACAAAGTGTTTAATTTTTAAGGACATTTACCGGAGTATGTTAATCAATTTATCTTATAAAGTTTCATTAAGTTACCTCCAAAAGATTCAGTTACATAGCAAATCAGTAATTAGCTAGGGTTAATCCATTCTATCAGGTAGGGGAGTATGGTGTGTTTTCTTTGTTAATTACCTACTCCACTGTCTCATAACTGGGAGTCTCACAATTTGGAGTACATTTATTGTGAATCTCCGTATCTGAAATACAGTGTTAAATGTGTCGTATTCTTTGCATGAATTAAAGCCATTTAGTATCACTAAAGATGTCAACTTGATTATGTTGAAATGGCAGAGTTTTACAACTAGTTGTATATAACATTCAGACTGTCCAGGAAATTTGTCTTTTGTTTGTGTTTTTGCTAAATGTAAAACGTTAAAGCTAGAGAACAGACCTCGTTTCTCTAACAATAAGAATAACCATCTGAACTGATTACTGAATATTAATGATGACACCAGGTGTTCGCGCAAAGTGTTAAGTCTGGGGCAAAGTTATTTGTTCCCCTGCTTCTTGCCTTGAGATATCATTAACCTCTACAACAGTATGTATTTCGCTATACGATCTAAAACTCTTCATATTTAAATATTAACAGGTTTGAACTGAACATAGATGGAACGATATACAAAATGCCATCATCCTTAATGATAAGGTACGTGTCATTTGTAATTTGTTTACTTGAAAACTAAAATGGTCCTTCAAAGTCAATGTTATTATCGTAGGATAAAGGGTCACCCGCAATTTGCATTGTGTCGTCATGGTTGAGTAAACAGAACACGATGTTCGGGCTCAGCTACGTGCCTACTTCCGTGTCGCTATACCCCGTCGGGGATCACGGCTCATGTTTACTGTCCCTGGTAAGAGTCGACTGTTCGTGACAACTATAAGTTGCAAGTCTGGCCTACTTGTGTCATTGCGGCGTCACACGCCCTTCACTCACTCACTCGTATTTCATCTATGCAATTTAATTCGCTTTATTTCAGTCAGGAATATTGACACGACTACGACCTCTCGTAAGTGGTGCCCCCATAGACATAATTCTATCATGTTTACTTGCTAAAACGCTTCACCGATAACAAGTTAGGACAAGGCAATGCGAACAACCAGCTGTAGATTTGATCGGGTTCTGAATGGCTCCATGCTATACACTATCAACTTAGGCATGTTCACCTACCGACACGCCGTGCATACAAACTCGACAAACAAGAAGCACAAAGGCAAAGAGACTACTTGAAACGGTACAGGTCGGTAGAATCTAGGGCGCGGTCCAACGTTACCCTGAATAATAACTGGTCGTTGTACAGCAATGAATCTGTATATAAAATGTCCCATCAATACCGTATAACTCACATTATAATGATCAACAGCACATGAAAATATTATTTAAAACGTTTGATAAAGGTTTCCCTGGTGGTGATGGTGTTGGTGGTGTGCGTGCGTGCGTGTGTGCGTTTGGGGTGGCTGTTACATTTATATACACTTCGTTTCTGTGAATATTTAAACATTGTTTACCTAAGTGAAGTACATGTGTGGACGTTCCTCCTGCTGCTATTTCGACATCTACATTTCTACCAATCGCACGCCTGATTAAGCTTTATTGATTTTATGAATTTCATGTTATGAACATTTTGTACCGATTCAGAGTGACACAACACTATCCAAGAGACTGAACAAAAAAGTGATGATTTCAACTTTTCAAAAGTCAAGTTTCCCTTCCTGTCGAGCAATGTATTATTAACAGCTCCAGCCTATGTAGGTACAACCTTTGAGGTACAGTCCAACATGCTCTTCGTACCTAGATTCCAAGGAACGTCATACGGTTCTTGCTCAGAGGTTATTTGAGCAAGGTTACAACATCGAAGGCCTCAGTAAAGCTTTCAAAAGGTTTTATGGTAGACATGTGGAGGAATTATCAAAACCTGACTCATCAGTGACCAAAACCGATATCTGACGCAATTCCCTATTTTGACTTGTTCCACACCTTCCCAATTATTTTGAGGTGAACAAGCGACTAGCCTTTGCATATGTGCATGGTGGGTGCAACCGTCTTTTCGCGAACACAAGATGTCATCACTAATTGATAGAGATTCGTAAACACATGCTCCGTATCTTATTTTGTCAATCACTTGATTGTCAAGTCCAGACTCTATTATTCACAGACCGCATTCATACAGCTGTTAAATTGGTGAGTGTGGCGTTGAACAAAACATACTAATAATGTAGTCGGAATTGAATATTGAGATTTCCTGTGGTTGTGGAAAGGGTTTTGTCGATATTATCTCTTTGTAAGAGTCATTCGTACGACGACCTTTGAAAGATTTGCAGATTGTACCTCAAAGGTTGTGAGATTCTGACACAGTAGTATTGCTCGACATAAAAGTAAAGTGGACTTTTGGAAAATAGATTTGTTAAAAGAAGGTTTCTTTCCGAGATTGTACAAAATCAAGCATATCCTTAAAGGTTTATTTATTCCACATAACATAAAATCCACATTTCTCTCTTTGTGATGTCAAAAAGAAAATCCTTCCTTGATTGTTACGAGGGACGTCACACATGAACAAACATAAAAAGACGATACACTTGTACATACTTACAAAGGATGTTGCACGTGTACATATCCACTTGGGATGTTGCACGTGTAAATACAAACAAGACACTTTACTCATATAAATATACACAAGGTCGTCACAAGTGGATTACTCACACAAAACACTTAATATGTCTTTGATGTTGTGCTTGAGATGTGCAAAAATATCTAAGAACACAAGCCACGTAGCTCCATAAATATAGGAAATACGGTAGCTTTAGTGGAATTATCAGTTCTATACATAAAGCCATGTATGTCTTTTATTCGAGTTGATAGTGGTTCTCATTTGGCCAGAGATGCAGAATGTATCTCTTTTCGTGGTGGTTTACCTTGCGGTATGGATTCAGGACGACTGTCTGACAGTCGATGCTGCAAAGGTTTGTGTTACTGTTTAGCAGTAGGTCTTTGAGCTATCCTATTGTAAGTATTGTGGGGTCAAGGCCTCCGTGGGGGCCGTGGGGCGACAGTGATCGTATAAAGGACAACCGCCTCCGTGTGATCAGTGTGTCAACTGTGTCTTCGTTCTCTCATAACTGTTACTGACTGGCATGCGATGTACAAACAGGCATGAGACACTGTCTACTGTCTTTACTTGACTGTGACATATACACAGACTATCTGATACCTGATTCAGGTATGTACTATTCAACAGTTCAGGCAAATCGTCAGCTGTTTCTGACTGACATTTGACAAACACTAGACATGACAAACCGTTTACTATTTCATATACAGGACGGTGGTATACACCAATATGAACACCAGGGTCCTGTTTGATAATACCTGACACAAGTATGTACTATGACACTCTCAAAGCAAATGTCAGCAGCTGACAGGGGTTGATGTTCATGCGTGTATTTTACAGGTGAGTACACTTTTTGTCCGTCTGATTTCGTCTCAAGATTCGTCTTGGAATTGGTTGCTTTTAAAGCAAGTTTCCAAGGCGTTCCGACAGCGCCGTTACCTGGCAGGTAGATGGTATTTACCTGTCAGTATCCCACACCTGGGATGGCGTGTCTTTACCTGAACTACGGTATACCCCCGTACTTCGGTCCTGACGATAGGAGATGTGCGAGAGGTACAGAGTCAGTACCCGGGGGCCCTTGGAACTTGACCGTAGTTCCTCCAGCAATCACAATAATCTTCGTTCAATAGTTTTATTAACACTGTGTTGCTGGTCAACCCACTCTATGGTCACCCTATAAGACTTCAGCCGCAAAGCTTCTGTCTTAAGCCAAATGCTGACCATGGTGCTGCAAGATAATTTCTGAGACGATTCCTAGTGACCAAACATCAAGAGTAGGAGCGCACCAGACTCCCGTCTCTGAGCTTTGCTTCACCTTAAAACTGGGTTCGTACGTCACAGCCAACACCCTTCTCCATATTTTCCATTGGTCAATAACCCATAACCTGACTATCTATTACTCTCCCCCCTTCTATTTCGTACCCCCAATACCTTATTTGTAAGACTTTGAGGTGGATTCCAGGAATCTCAGAGTTTCTCTCCCCTAACCATATATGACTCGTAGAATACCAAGAACTGGTACCAAGATCCCCGGACACGTTTCTCCATCTTGCTAGCTCAGCAGTTTTCCCCTTACCTAAGTTATGAGTCACCTCATCTTGCCCCATCAGCTCTAACGACCTACTGTCATGTTTATTACCTCCGCTACTGAATTCCTACCTCGCAAACATTATTAATCACTTCATATCTTAAATATATTATTAAATCCTATCATAATTTGTCTCCCATTACATCTTTATCACCGACACCTGTTATTTATAACGTCAATTGTATATCTATTATTGTAGCAATTACCATAATCTCATGCCTATAATACATGAACTCCTTACTCCATCGTTAAACACAACTCCTTAACTGACCCACTCACTCACACACTCAAATTCACCTACCCACTCACCCACTCACTCACCCACTCACTCAGTTATTCTGTCTTCCACAGCCGAAACACCCATTTACAGTGGCCAGGGAAGCTATCCGCAATGAGGACAAGTCGCCTTCATACCTCCACATAGTGGATTTTGGACCTCAAGGTGGTACTTTAGTGGTACAACTCCTGAAGTACCTTGTGATATAACACGAACACTGCCGTCATAATCACTTACTACAAAGTAAACTAAACATAGCTCATATATTGTAACAAAGCGGGCATAGTAAAAAATATATAATTCATGGATGTCAGTATCACATACGGTGAGGTGAGGTGAGGTGAGGTGAGGTGAGGTGAGGTGAGGTGAAATTGGGTTTTAGGTCGTGCTTGAGAATATTTCGCTCATATGACGACGTGCATGCGTGTGTATGTGTATCTGCGGCTGCTTGTACTAGCCGAGACTTAAGCTGGTTTTATAGTGCTAGCCCACTGAGATACCATGCCGCAGTGAAGCATGAATACCCCACTCAGACACATTATACTGACTCCGAGCCGACCAGTCCTTGTTGAACCCATTAATGCCGAGCGCCAGGCAGGACCAACAAGTACCATATTTTGACGTCTTTTGGTATGACGCGGTCGGGGATCGAACCCGCGACCTTCCGCTCTCCAGGCGGACGCTCTAACCACTAACTTGTTGGTCCCTGCCTGGCGCTCGGCATTAATGGGTTCAACAAGGACTGGTCGGCTCGGAGTCAGTATAATGTGTCTGAGTGGGGTATTCATGCTTCACTGCAGCATGATATCTCAGTGGGCTAGCACTATAAACCCATCTTCAGTCTGGGCTAGTACAAGCAGCCGCACATACACATACACACGCATGCACGTCGTCATATGAGCGAAATATTCTCAAGCACGACGTTAAACCCAATTTCATCTCACCTCACCTCTAACCACTACACCACGGAGGCGGTCTATTGCATACGGGCCTTCCTAACAACTGAAAGTTTTTCCTGAAGACCAAGATATAGTTTTGTAAAATACAAATATAGAAACTAAATTCCCTTTGTATGACAGCTGCTCTATCAGAGAAGTGAAGAAATAGTATCTTCCTCACTGATCAGTGCCAATAGAACCAATATAACGAAACAATGTCCTTCTTGATTAACAGGAACGGGGGTAGTAGCTGGGAAAGACTTTTCTCCCTCTGATTTCATCACCTACTACCACGGCAAACACAGTTCAGAGAGACCAGACCTGGATGATCACGAATATGAATTTCTGTTCAAGCTGAATCATTACCACAAAAGTTTCTGGTAAGTTATTTCGATTTCGTTTCTAGGAATCAAATCATGGGAGTCTCTTGCCAAAGTTTACGGCAGCATAAACTACAGTATATAGAGAATCATCAATACCTTTGTCCAGTGTATGTCCTGCTTTTGTAATGTATTGGCGAACACCTGGTGATATCACTGATTTCACTGGTCCATTCACATAATGTTCACCTCTAATTTGCCTTTCACGCCCAATGGCATCGGTTCCTGCAGATAATCAGACTGGTTATTCCCTTGTATTGGAGTGAGTGAGTGAGTTTGATTTTACGCCGCTTTTGCAATATTCCAGCAATATCACGGCGGGGGACACCAGAAATGGGCTTCACACATTGTAACCATGTGGGGAATCGAACCCGGTCCTTCGGCGTGACGAGCGAACGCTTTACCCACTAGGCTACCCCACCGCCCCGTATTGGCGTAAGTGTCATTTATTCCTGTAAATATCGTACGTTACTAATCATATAGAGACCTATACCGCCACGAAGACCATTAAACTCTGCATCTCGGTCCCAATGACGACCACTATCAAGTCAAATGAAAGACACATACGAAATATTTCCATGAATCGCTGGGTTATATTCCATAAGAAAATAAACTGTATTTTTGAATCATTAAATAGCAAAAGCATATCCAATTCTTAAAGGATCGATGCTTCCGAAGAGGATGGGTCTTATGGGCGACTTTTTAATGATGACTGGAAGAATCCCAATGCAAGAGCGAGAGTTATATTTGTTGATGGTCAGGCACACGTAGCCTTTCTTGCCCGCAGATCAATTAAAGCTGGAGAAGAGATCCGTTACAACTACAAACACGGAGCCACAGACTTCCCTTGGCGGCAGGTGAGTTATAAGTATTGGTATTTTGTTATGTGTTTCTCTTCTCCAACCTTTCAGGGCAAGTGAGCGGGAGGGCGAAATGACATACATAAAAAAAATAGAAAAACTTTTTACTAAAAACCTACGAAATTGTAAAATTAAGACCACTTGGTAATAGTTCTTGAATTATTTTCAAGATACAGATCGAGTCGAGTTGCTTCTGAAAAGGTTTGTTAATAAATGTAGATGGTAAAACCAATCCTGCTGACTTGGTGTATTGAAATTTCCACATTAGCGGGGGAAATTGAGCTAGGAATAAATATATAGGCCGGACGGGAGATAAATACTAAATACGGACAGCGCAACAAACAGTTGAAAGTGTATTTTATTCTTACAATAATACAAATCTGTTGTAGTTATTGTCTGAGCATTACTAACCTTTCACTTAACATAAATTTATTTCACCGCCTTTTACGCAGTTGGATGCTACAAAAAAAACAACCATCAGTCCGTTTGAGTCAGAAACGGACCGATGAATTGCAAATTTTATCATTGTACAAAATTGCCACATAAATATAAATAGTACACATGTTGATCATTTACTAATACCCAACAGCTTTCTTATATTTGAAAATGTTCCGGACTCCACCAAAAAAGTTGTTTAAGAAACTATCATCATTGAAAACGCAAAAGTTGTTATCTGTCGCGGCGGGGTGAAACCACAGAAACGGAACAGCCACTATCTCGCCGGTCCGTTTCTGACTCAAACGGACTGTAATTATTCTGCGCGGTTGACGTTGTCTATTTGTTCCAGCCGAAGAAGCATCCGTTTGCAGAAGCAAGAGAAGCCATCCGCAATACAGACGCGTCACCTTCATACCTCCACATAGAATACTTCGGAACTCACAAAGGTAGCAGCTTCATGCATGTTGTTGGAATTGTGCATAAAAAAGTAATCTGTTGAAAAGGTGGACAGGGGCAAGATTGCTGAAAGGAAACGTCAATGAGCGCTGTTGTGTATCCACACATGAGGGCCTTGGAACATGCTTTCTATAGACATACGTCGGTTGCTGGGTTTGGTAGCATTTTGTAAATGGAAATTACCCCATAATTACCTGCAACGTATATACCTCAATGTAATGGTACTACTATATCAGCATGTTTCTCACTTATAATACACTGTGTCAACTACTGTGATTGAGATTAGACAGGATTATAAATCATATCAGTCCTTCAGTGTGGTTTGTTTTTGGTTTGGACACATTTTGGAAAAATGGAATCCTCTGATTTCACTGATAAGTACTGTGTTTCCGTCTCAATTTCAGGAAGGGGAATAGTAGCAGGCAAATATTTCTCTCATGGAGATTTTATAACCTATTACCACGGAAAACACAGTCCAGAGGAACCAGATCTGACTAATGAGGAACACGATTATCTGTTTAAATTGAACCATTATTTCAAAAGTTTTTGGTAAGTTATCCCTGTATTGACCATATATGCTCACAGTAAGTGCTTTAAGAAGTATTCTTTATTTCAGCAGGACAGTATAGGATATACATAACCCCGTTCCTTTAGAGAATAAAATTTAATAAAAACAAATTTTAAAATGCTGTAATTATTCTGCAGAAGCATGTTTAAGCGTAAGATTGATTCCTCCAAAGGATGCGTTTCATACAATTGGTGACGTTTCATAATTTAGTGATCACGAACACTTGTTTTTATCATATAATGGATAGGTTCTCGCCAGGATACAGCCAGTGGATACAAATGGTATCCGTTGCGGTCATACACGGATAAATATTCAGAAATGAAAGGTCATGTAGGTACTACTTTCAGTGTTTACAAACATATATATGTCAGTACGTCATCTAGAGTATCAACTGTCCTTTTTGGAAAAACCGCGGTGGCTGAATGGGTTAGACAATTCACCAACCTTTTGACGTAATATATCCACATTGAAAAAAGTATAGCAACGCTAATTATTGTTCATTGTATCAATATGTTACTATTAATCATAGCAAAGGAATTCATCCAAACCTCAATTTAACTCACATTTTGGATACATTTACCCTCGAGGAATAATTCAATGGCAATATCTAAAGAAAAAAAAAATGGCTCATTACGCACTGCTGATAACTATGGTCGTATGACGTTAACAAGTGCGCACATTTTTAATATTCTGGCATACAGTCCTCATGAAATAGGTATCAATATCTAAGTACAATATAAATATCTGGTGTAACCTCAACCTACTGCAGTTACATCCCCGACCCTCCCCATTGACTATCAGACGTTGAATTTGACGTTGAGCGTAGCGTTCCATTCTTGACAGGCTGTATGGGATTGAGATCTGGACTCCTGGCGGGCCAAGGTAGAGTTGCTAGCGCCTCTTGACGTAACGAATTCACCAGTGGCACGTGCACAATGTGGCTTAGCAATGTGTCATCCATAAAGACTAACCAAATGTTCAGGGGATGGTCTTCGAAATGTGGTACAACAACCCAGTCTAAGATGTCAGTGATGTACCGATATATGTTCAGGTCAGGTTTACAGTCATGTGAGATTCACCGCCACGCCATCAATGAACCCGAACCAAACGATGCTTGCTCCCAAGACAATGAACAAAACAAATCGACTTTCGTCCGACCAGTAGACCTTTCTCGATTGCAGTGACGTCGAGATTTACATCAAGCTTGTCGTGCTGCTTTGTGCTCCAGGGACATCAACGGACGTGTTATAGTTCGTCTGGCTTTATACCCGACCGATTTTAGCCGATATCAGACTGTTCCGTTGGACAAACAACGATGTTGAAGTCACTCTGTTTTAACACACATGGCACTGGACATGAATGGATGATGTCTTGTGATTATGAGTGTGTTGCAGTATTCCAGCTATATGGCGGCGGTCTGTAAATAATCAAGTCTGGACCAGACAATCCTGTGATCAACACCATGAGCATCGATCTACGCAGTTGGGAAACGATGACATGTGTTAACCAAGTTGGAGAGCCTGACCACCCAATCCCATTAGTAGCCTCCTGCGACAAGCATGGGTTATTGGAGATCAATGCTAACACGGACCTTCACGGATCCTTGTGATTCTGAGAAAGCTCTCTATCCCCCCCCCTCCCCTCTGTCTGTCGTGGTCGACCTGAACGCTGGCAGTGCCTAACGTTATTAGTTTGCTGATGTTTCCTGGCCCATTGGATGATAGTCGATGGATGACAACCAAACTCTTTTGATAACTCTCAATGACTTACCAGCATTCCACATACAAATAACTTTCCATCTTTGGGCAGTTTTTAGTTGAGGAGTCCCCATATCTAAATTTCAGCAAAGAAATTTCTTAAGTCATCGAAGCGTAAGAAGAGTTTACTGAAACTTTATATTTATTTGATGTAGGGTACACGTATTGCACGTTATGCTCGCCGTTGATCGTAGCATGTGTATATCTAAAATCAACGTATTCTGTGCCCGAAGTGTGAAACTAATCCCATAAAAGAAACACAATATGATATGAATATATATAGCTATTTGGAGGTTAAAAACTATAGGTGTTGCAATTCATTTGGCATGTGTGTACGTTAAAACGATTATGTAAAGTTTGTAAGATGAAAAGGTTGTCATTTTTGTACCTTCTGGAATAGTAAATATCCTGCATATCCTGTAAAAGACTAAACACTGTTTTATGGGTTTAGCGAACTAAGTACAATGGTTATTCATATAAAGGGTATTTATCACCCACATATAGATATCGAGATGTAATGACCATCATTACAATATGTTATCCTATGTAATCGTGATTGATCAAATAGCAAAAAAAATATCTAATTCTTAAAGGATCGATGCTTCCGAAGAGGATGGGTCTTATGGGCGACTTTTTAATGATGACTGGAAGAATCCCAATGCAAGAGCGAGAGTTATATTTGTTGATGGTCAGGCACACGTAGCCTTTCTTGCTCGCAGATCAATAAAGACTGGAGAAGAGATCCGTTTTGACTACAACCATGGGGCTACTCACTTCCCATGGAGACAGGTTGGTTATAAAAATGGCCAATTGTTGATTATGTATCGAAATAGACGTAGCGTGATTGACAGCCATTTCAGACTCATCTTTGGTATTGAAATATATCTCTGAATTTGGTCGAATTTCGTTACAGTGTATATCTTTGATTAGCATTTTAGAAGTAGTTGATTAGTAATAACGAGATAAGATACTTCATGGATGAAGTTCTTTATTAATTGAGCCCTTGGAGGGGCCTGGTCCCGTACCATCATTGTCTATACTACTTATTATGATGCAACGTTTCGGTGTAGATTCATGTACCTTTGACAAGCAAGACGTTGTTACCCATAACGTATCTTGCATTTATTATTATTCAGCAATTTATTTTTAAAATGTCTTTCCTACATCAGCTGAAGAAAGCGGCAACGGGGGGTGGTGAAGGCAGCCGAAGTTCTGACGAATCCAGTTTAGACCTACAGGAAAAAGTACCTGAACATATATTTCATAAGGTTTGTTGTGTTTAGTATCCGTGTGTCCTGTAAGTGATTGGGTCATTGTAAGAAATACCTAATGCTGTTAGGATATGATAACACGCAGTCAAAAGCATCACCAATATTACCATCAAATCCAGCCAAGGGCCTAACTAAGTTCATACTGTTCGAATTAGGTGTCATCGATTAAGATTTTAAACATTTATGCATTATTATTTTAGTGCCTCGTTCTGAAGTACAAATGAGACATGATGTATATATATATATACTTATGTATATATATATATATATATATATATACAAAGTATACTATAAGGCAGAGCTTTTGATGTATATGTGTGTCATCGACTTGTACTGTACTTGTACTGATGCAATTCCGTATTTTCACTTGTACCCTATGTTATGTTTTTCAAGTGAACATTTGACTGTCCGTTGTGTGTGTGTGTATGTGTGGTCCAGTAATGTATGTATGTAAAGTATGTATAAGGCATGTATGCTTATGTATGTATGTATGTATGTGTATGTATGTATGTATGTATGTATATGTATGTATGATGTATGTATGTATTATGTATGTATGTATGTATGTATCAAGTAACATTTGTACTGGTCGTATGTATGTGTATGTATGTATGTATGTATGTATGTATGTATGTATGTATGTATGTAATGTATGTATGTATGTATGTATGTATGTATGTATGTATGTATGTATGTATGTATGTATGTATGTATGTATGTATGTATGTATGTATGTATGTATGTATGTATGTATGTATGTATGTATGTATGTCAATGGTGGGGCAGGATAAGATGATACCTGGTATCATCCTTTTTTTCATTGTGATTCATAAAACAATTCTCATGAATCTCAGAATCTTACATATTTCTTATGTTAATTTAAATGTTTTTGTCGCTTTCAGTCCCTTCTTTTAGGGGTTCAAATAAGTAAATTATTCCATTATTTATTCCAGTCACAGACACAATGGACACATCATCAGACAGAGACGTGGCTAGATCTTCTCAAGACAATATTTATGCCGACATGCATGTTGGAAAACGTTGGAGACAACCTTCAATCCTCTTGCTCCCGGAGTTCTTCTATACAGGACTGTCAACGGTGGCATCTCTCTTAAAGTCTCCCGGAAGTCGGATCCATTAGGCTCTTTCATTTCCGTTACATGAATAAGGAAGTCGAGCAGGCCGTGGCGTAATCAGTAGACGGTGTTTGAGTCTAAAACATGGCATAATGTCAAATTTGTCAGTGTGATGTCTGTGAGCATTCTGTGTCTCCGTGTGATGCTGGCAAGGAAGAAGATTGCACTGGCAAATCTCATATTCTACTTTCTTTATGAAACCTAGAGACTGAAATTCGCCCTAAATGTTGATGTGTTGATGTAATTAAACATTTGAGGATATTCCTGAATAAATGTTCGCCTTTTATAATATACCTTGCCATGTCAGATGTGAATAACAGATTCTGAAGAAGCTTATTTGTGTACCTTCCAATAATGTATCTTCAAGGTCTACGAAGTCAAGGATATGATAATGTACACAGGCCCCATCGACACACATCAAGTAAATAAACAAAGAATATGTTTATGATTTCTTTATATTTACTCAACCCAAGTAAACGTGGGCAATAGTGAGACGTGTATCGACATGGTTACCTTGTTCCTGTACATGTGTATGTACATTCGCAGTCAATGCTTGGTGCCACGGTTGAGTGTTTTGTGTTCCGACTGTGACAATGATAATGACACTACTTTTTACCCCTAGGGTAATTCTTTTTACATTTGAAAGTGATCACATAATTATTAAAAATGACATAAAAGTTACGAAAACACAACACAACACAATAGAAAGTTAACAGTCATTTAAAAGGAATAAAAGCATTTTGAACTCTTTTTGTTTTAAAACGGGGCATTTGGTATCGGCGGCCTGAAGGTAAAAGATTATATTCAGAAAATATAGTTCAGTGTCCGCTCAAATTCGCTCGAATAATGTTAGCTTGTCAGTATTGTACACGTGGATAAGCACTTGCGGACCTCCCTACCTTGGTCTGGCACACATCTTATGCTGCAATACATTTCACGATCTTCTCGGCGACAATGACAACTCAGCCAATGTGGATACAGTCCGTTTGGCTGCGAATGAGGACGATGCGCGTTTGACATACAATACTAATAGCAATAGTGTATTCTACACATTAATGAAAACATAGGAATCGTTTAGGATTCAATACATTCTCAACACTTAAAATTTACAAATGCAAGACAATCGAGATATATGCCATAAATGGAATCTGTATCGTTCCACCGCAATGTCATGCTGTCATCCAATCTGGCAGACCAGTAATGTTATATTATTGCTGAAAGTGCAACTGACAAGAAAGCAGGAGATTTTAATGCATTTCATATCATAGTTGCATATTGGACCTTTAGTTCTGAGTGTTTCGACGACAGTTTTCGTCCTGTTTACTATTCAAAAACGTTTCCAATCGTATGGTCAAACCATGTGTTTAGTGTATACTTTGTTTCCTCCAGCAGTGTATATGAGAAAACAGAAACAGAAAACAGATTGTTGAAGAGAAAGACATTTTGAATTTGTTTCTTAGTTACGTTAGTCGAGATCAGGACAAGGCATCCTCTGTATTAACCGATAGTTATTGGTGTTTTGATTACACTATAGTGTACACATGTATAGCAATAGAAATAACGTATGTATAATATCTGTATTGAACAAGCAACAACCCAGACATACACTGATTAAAGCGTATACCGTAGAGCAACATCTGCACTATTGTAGAGCTCGACTTTCAATAACTCCATTGTGGAAAAGTACCAGCTTGAACGATATCAATAAACAAATCGAATGTCTTCTTTGGTGTCGCATTCCAGATCATGTATAACCCAGCGAGTGAACAGTGAGTAGACGACAAGATCAGAACGATAATGATTTTGCAATGCCAATAATTCTGAAAGCAAATAACTTAAACTGATACGGATATTGAAGTTGTGATATTTGAGAGCTCCATAGTCACGAGAAATGTAATGCTGCATTATCATTAAGTAACAGTGTATATGTTTGATGTAAAAGACTGTTTGTGCCTTCCAGTTCTGGGAAATGAGAAGACTACCCATTTATCTAATCATGTTCTGGATGAGTCTGGAACTTGCTAGATGCCAAGGGAGGAATCATTTTAAGGTTTGACTTTACACGCTATTTGTTTTTGATTGATTGTTTCGGATGTAACCTGGCTACAATTAACTAAATGTCATCTGATTATTACACCTGTGGACTCGTGGTACACATTGCCGAGATTGTACAATTAGTCAATTTCCACTGCCTCTTACACACATTTCTTATAGCCATAGAAATATTTTTGTCACTTTTATGGTATAATCTAATATAATTCATGTTCACTGTAGAATAAGTAGACATTCTCGCGAGGACGACTGAATTAGCGCAATACACCTTCGTTTGTAGATTAAACTAGTATCGTTACTGTTGAAAAGAAAAAGGTAGACTATAGTATTATTGGACACTGCCTCTGCAACTGGGACGGTTGATTAATTGGCGACACGCTCACCTTTGGAATGTATTCGGAATCGTACAATGAACACTTCGTTTTAATTATGGAAACGATTTTGTTACCTCTATTGACAAAATGTGTGCTCAGGACCCACAGTGTTTGTGTCTGAAGGGACCAGATTTAAATGGCAGATCCTCAAAATGTATATGATGATGTTTTCTTCATCCGCATCACAGGATGGAACTGACCCTGGATTTTATAATCAGGCGGCTATCAGCAGCAGCAGCGTCGTTACACTGGCACTATCGCTCCTGCTCCCCCTCTTACAGACGGTTCCCCTTCCTTCTCAAGGTCACCGCAGTTAAAGGGGAGTCACCACTATCTACACGTTTCCTTGTAAAACGTCTTGCATTTATATGCCTATTCTTACTACGTATTCGTGTCCCACGCAAGGTCGTTGCAGTTAAAGACGTGTTCTCACAGCCTACACCTTCTGTCTGCACACCCTTTCACGAGCTGTGCAGATCAAGTTGGTCCTCTACCTGTTGCCTACTCAAGAGCTCAACATAACAAAATAGGCCTTCAATATATTACGCGGCAGTGTTATTCAGTGTGTAACAGTGTTCCATGTGTAATACATTGTACCTATAGGAATTCAGTATGGGGCATTGGTAAACTATACTTTAGACTTGTGCTATATTTAGACAGAAAGATCTGTAAAGTACTGTAGGGTGCTGGTTCCGAAGTCCACAGCTTTAGAGGGCACTGTAGAAATGTGTAGATAAGAAGAGATGGCTATAGCCTATCATCACACATTACAGCTCAAGTTACCAGCGACTAGGAGGAGATCATTCTTACCCTGGATACTCGAGTTTGAAACCTGACCAATGTTGCAGTGAGATGAATATTACCCTTATTGTCTTCATTGCTTTTACCAAGTGCACTGCTCTCGTATTATACTGCTTTTGGTTTTGTACTGCCGTGCCACCGTAATAGTGATTTGTAAGTAATTTGTAGACTTAGTTGAAGATTACATTTGTCAGTTCTATCACATTGCTTTGTTGTTTGTTAGTTTCACACCAAGTTCTTTCAAGAACGGATTTTCGGTCAACGTCAAGTTTGAACCTTTTTTGCTCTCAGGAAAACCTATGCCCATGGCAGCTACAACTAACAGCGGCAAAGGCAGCCATCCGACGTTCTGACATGTCTCCAGATTATCTCCGCATCGTTGATTTTGGACATCCCAAAGGTTTGGGTTTATTATCATTGTTATTCACAGATTAAAACAAATATATACAGAAAAGAGGACTCGGGTGATTATTGCACAGTCAGCATGGTTAGGTTCATCTTTAACTCACATCCCTTGGCCCCGTGTAAGAACCTTTCGGAGAATGTGTAGAATCCCCAGCTCAGCAGCCGCCTGTATTGTCTGGAGTGTCAGAAGGGCTGTGTTCCTGGCAGCAAACCCGGCTACTCTTCCAGTGTCTGGGAAAAGATTAGGAGGTACCAAACCTGGAGCACAAAGAACAATGGACAGTCGCTCAAGTAGTGGGGATGCACCAAGTATGAGTAGGTAGTAAGGACACGTATATAACTGCACGTCTAGCTTGATAACGGAGTGAGAATCTACACCGACAGTCGCTCAAGTAGTTGGGATGCACCTAGTATGAGTAGGTAGTAAGGACACGTATATAACTGCACGTCTAGCTTGATAACGGAGTGAGAATCTACACCGACAGTCGCTCAAGTAGTGGGGATGCACCTAGTATGAGTAGGTAGTAAGGACACGTATATAACTGCACGTCTAGCTTGATAACGGAGTGAGAATCTACACCGACAGTCGCTCAAGTAGTTGGGATGCACCAAGTATGAGTAGGTAGAAAGGACACGTATATAACTGCACGTCTAGCTTGATAACGGAGTGAGAATCTACACCGACAGTCGCTCAAGTAGTTGGGATGCACCTAGTATGAGTAGGTAGTAAGGACACGTATATAACTGCACGTCTAGCTTGATAACGGGTGAGAATCTACACCGACAGTCGCTCAAGTAGTTGGGATGCACCAAGTATGAGTAGGTAGTAAGGACACGTATATAACTGCACGTCTAGCTTGATAACGGAGTGAGAATCTACACCGACAGTCGCTCAAGTAGTTGGGATGCACCAAGTATGAGTAGGTAGTAAGGACACGTATATAACTGCACGTCTAGCTTGATAACGGAGTGAGAATCTACACCGACAGTCGCTCAAGTAGTGGTTGGATGCACCAAGTATGAGTAGGTAGTAAGGACGTATATAACTGCACGTCTAGCTTGATAACGGAGTAAGAATCTACACCGACAGTCGCTCAAGTAGTTGGGATGCACCAAGTATGAGTAGGTAGTAAGGACACGTATATAACTGCACGTCTAGCTTGATAACGGAGTGAGAATCTACACCGACAGTCGCTCAAGTAGTGGGGATGCACCTAGTATGAGTAGGTAGTAAGGACACTTATATCACTGCACGTCTAGCTTGATAACGGAGTGAGAATCTACACCGACAGTCGCTCAAGTAGTGGGGATGCACCTAGTATGAGTAGGTAGTAAGGACACTTATATAACTGCACGTCTAGCTTGATAACGGGTGAGAATCTACACCGACAGTCGCTCAAGTAGTTGGGATGCACCTAGTATGAGTAGGTAGTAAGGACACGTATATAACTGCACGTCTAGCTTGATAACGGAGTGAGAATCTACACCGACAGTCGCTCAAGTAGTTGGGATGCACCTAGTATGAGTTGGTAGTAAGGACACGTATATAACTGCACGTCTAGCTTGATAACGGAGTAAGAATCTACACCGACAGTCGCTCAAGTAGTTGGGATGCACCAAGTATGAGTTGGTAGTAAGGACACGTATATAACTGCACGTCTAGCTTGATAACGGAGTGAGAATCTACACCGACAGTCGCTCAAGTAGTTGGGATGCACCTAGTATGAGTAGGTAGTAAGGACACGTATATAACTGCACGTCTAGCTTGATAACGGAGTAAGAATCTACACCGAAACGTCGCGCTATGCAGTACACAAGAAGTCATCATCCATACAGGTGTTTGCTATATTATAACTGCACGGCCTCACTTCCACGCCGTGATATACAGTCTACCCTGGTTGTAATGATTAGGGTGTTATATCCAAGGAAGACAAAAGTTGGCTATAAATAAAATATGTCCCACCAGATCGCTGACTCTTTTCAGTGCGGGGCAGGTTAAGGCCAAGGTCGTCAATGGCGAACGGGCACGACACAGTTCTATTTGCGATGAATAAATGTACGTAAACTTATTATGACCGTGAGGTGTAAGTGTCTCCCACCCAGATAGCATTCAGACGTTGGTTTTGCCAACAATGCCAACGTTGGGCCAATGACCGAATGCTATCTGGTGAAAGAATTGCGACTAGCGCGCTGACAGGTGCCATCAGTTCAACATGTTTTGGTGCACGTCGTTTGTGTACACTGTGAAATAAACAAGAAAACTGGTGAGTTACCGCTTCACATTCTGAGCAGGGAGTTTGGCTCGGAATCGAGGAATCACGATTTTTCGAGCTTCCGAATACCCTAGCTCCCACGGTACCGCTTCGATTTTTGTGCTGTATGTCTTATTTTGTAGGTAAATCTATTGCCTTGAAATGTGTGCATACTTTAAATGAGATAAATACAGTGAGCATGGTTAAATTCGACTTGAAACGAACTTGGAATGCTGACCTCGTTACATCCCTTTCCTTTTATATAGTGCTAAGACCCCATCAGTGGCAGAACATACCTTGCACATGATGGCAGTTTTTAGCGTTACGAGCCCCTGTACACTCACACATATGCTGGAGTTTACAGTGAATGCAAACGATGACATCTTCCTAAACTTACCGTCAGGCTTTACGTTTTGTCATGTTAATTTCATCTGTAACGTTTCAGGGCGGGGAATGGTTGCAAATACTAACATTGGACGAGGGGACTACGTAACGTATTACCATGGAATCCGGGACGTTATGGAACCTGATGTAGCGGACAACACCTACACATTTCATATAGCCTACCGCAATACACGGTTCTGGTAAGTCCTCTGGTTAGAGTGAGTGAGTGAGTATGGTTTTACGCCGCTTTTAGCAATATTCCAGCAATATCACGGCGGGGACACCAGAAATGGGCTTCACACATTGTACCATGTGGGAATCGAACCCGGGTCTTCGGCGTGACGAGCGAACGCTTTACCCACTAGGCTACCCCACCGCCCCCTGTTCTGGTTGGAAGCATTGCAAGTTGGTATGGATTCCATGATCCTCCTTCTCTGACTGACATAACGACCCACCATGACCTGAATTATAATTACTATGAGCTCAACACCTTTCTCTTCAAGAAGTATGTAAGAACAGCGACCTTCCTGTACATAGAACCTGTGTATATGTCATGCGACTAGAGCACGTCCCTGAGTGATGTGGAGGAGGCGCTATAAAAGTACTCTTTTTATCAATATCATGACGTTTACAGTTTTGACTCTTGAAGTTTTGCAGAATGAGCCCATATGGCTCTCGACCAAAATTCTCAAATGAAACAGGAAATAATATACCCTCTGCGTGAATATATATGAGAGGTTTTCATTGAACAATACCCATTGAAAACATCTGTGAACCGAGTGTGAACAATTATATGTGCTAACAGAATGGAAGTTAATATATTTGAACTCTGTGAATGGCGTACCATCATGCAGTCAAAATCTTCCGACGTTCATACAATTTCTCCCTCAACCTATTCCACACTCCAATGTACATACATGGAGTGAGAGTCATTTCTTATTGTTCCACTTTAATTCATATTCAAGGCATGTGTTAAAATTAATCAAGAATTTTCGGAAACGTTCGAATTACAACTTGGTGTAAGGCAAGGATGTATACTTAGTCCGTTCCTGTTTTCATTTTTCATCAATGAGCTTGCTGTTCAAATCGAAACTAATTGTTCAAGTGGCATACAACTTCATCCAGAAATAGTTAAAATCTTCCTTCTGTTGTTTGCAGACGACGTTGTGTTGTTTTCAAGCACCGTTAGTGGCCTCCAAAATCAAATAAATGAACTTGAACATTACTGCGATAAATGGAAATTAACAGTAAACAGAGAGAAAACAAAGATCTTAGTCTTTAAAAAGGGAGGTAAACTTTCTAAAAAAAGAAAAGGGGTTGTTTAAGGGTATACATCTAGACTGTGTTAGCTATTATAAATATTTGGGATTGTATTTTACCAATGGTTTGTCTTGGAACATGCATGCCAAATATGCTTCGCTCCAAGCGCAAAAGGCACTTATCGGTATTATGAAGACAATAAGTACACTTGGAGATATTAGTTACAAAACCTTTTTTAAGATTTTTGATGCAAAGATAAACCCAATTTTGACGTACGGAGCAGAACTCTGGGGATTAGCAGACTTTCATCAAATAGAAAGAATACACTTGTATGCATGCAAGAAATATCTTGGTGTTAAATTGAATATAGTTAATGCAGTAGTTTACGGTGAATGTGGCAGATATCCAATGCACTTGTTTACAAGCATAAAAGTTGTCAAATATTGGTTAAAACTGTTAAATATGCCTCCATATCGGTTACCGAAAAAATGTTATAATATGATGTTATTGTATGATGAAAATGGACAAAGAAATTGGACATCTCATGTTAAGAATTTCTTATTCTCTATTGGCTTCGGAAACGTTTGGAATGCACAATATGTAGAATCACATACGTCATTCATTCAGTCGTTAACCATAAGACTTAAAGATATATATCTTCAAACATGGTGTGAGAAAATATCTTTGTCAAGTAAATGTTTTTACTATTCAAAATTTAAAAAAGATCTATTCAATGAAGTATACTTATCATGTGTTAATATAAAGAAATTTAGGCGATCACTAGCAAGATTCCGATGTTCATCTCACAATTTGTTGATTGAAAGCGGCAGATATAAAAATGTTAAAAGAGAAGAGAGAATATGTACACTTTGTCGTTTAAATGAAATTGAAGATGAATATCACTTTCTCCTCATCTGTCCATCATTTAATTCAATACGTTGTAAATACATTAAAAGATATTACTATATCCATCCAAGCATCATAAAATTCTCTACCCTTATAAGCAGTAAAAATCAAAATATATTACAAAATCTTGCCATGTTCATCCACATTGCAATGTTGTATAGAACAAAAGTTTTATCACTGTAATTTATTTATGTAATTCCCCATTATATATGTATATGTACTATAGGCATGTGGCCTCTTCAGTACGAAATAAAGATAATTATTATTATTATTCAAAGGGTTGATGGGTCAGAGGAAGATGGTTCCTACGCGAGACTTATCAACGATGAATGGAGACACCCTAATTTAAGGTCAAGGATGATGTTTGTAGACGGGGAGCCCCATGTTAGTTATTTCGCACTGAGACAAATATTGGAGGGTGAAGAGATCCATTACGATTATGGTGGCAGTGAGGAATTCCTTCCGTGGAGAAAACTGGTAGGTAGTTGTTGCTCCTATTAACTTTTGACGTTCACGATATGGACCGACGACTGTTGACAATCTGAAGCATTTGTTTGCTAATTATCGCTTATGTCATGAAGATCATAGTTAGACTTGATCTTCAGTTATCCATGCTTGTTTTAAGAGGCGACTCCGGTGGTCAGACTCGCTGACTTGGTTGACATATGTCATCGTATCCCAATAGTGTACATCGATGCTCATGCTGTTGATCACAGGATTGTCTGTTTCAGACTCGATTATTTACAGACCGCCGCCATATAGCTTGAATACTGCTGAGTGCGGCGTAAAACAATAACCATTATACTGAATGCGTTTGAGAAGTCCACTTTCAAAAGTACCTAAGAATTTCACATCAACCTCACGAGGGACACCACGTGGATAACCTTAGTGAAAGAGGCTGGTAATGAGGTCACAAACACAAACGGGGTACAATATATGCGGGACTCGAACCCATGAAACCCAGTTTCTGTCATGTCCAGAGAAATGCGAAGCCTTAGAGATAGGTAGAAACACAAACTGGGGGGTCGAACCTAAGACCAAATCAATTTGGCTCAGTCCTATACATTTGCAATGTTGCTATGTGCAGAGTTTAACAACAAACTCGCCGGTTTTTCCCATGTGATATAATTTAGATTACCTCAGCAATATATATGCTAGTGTTGGAAGCAGTATATGTCCGGGTTGCCTCATGTACATGGAGCTAAAGATAATCCGACGCGTCTTCTCAGCGGCGACATTGCTATTTTTAAGTTAAAGACAAATGTTTCAAAAGGAATTTCGAAAAAAGAACCTACATGAATCAGTCTTCAAAGCTTCTTCTCCTATACAATGATTGTGTGTGATATAGTCAACATGAGAAACAAAGCTGTTCAGTATAAACTTCATAGATTCCATACACAGGGTTTTGTCGCAATGTACGTGATTTGTACCTTAAGCGTTATTCACTGTTTCAGGAGAACAGAAGTTACATCCCGCTTTCTCCGTAGAGTCTCCAGGTCAACTTCCAGCTTGGCTAACAATGTACCCGTCTCACGTTGTTAGCTGTCCATCGTGAATTTATGTTATCACAAGTCTCGACATAGACCAGACATAATGCATCACAACAATCAAACAATCCAAATGGAGTTTAATTGTTTTAACGACAGCGTAATCTACATTACAAGTTTCGTGTCCTTCATGCAATGTTCATGCTCTTCTTACAAGTTGGGATGAAAGACTCGTGAGGTACCTTCAAGAGGATACACTTTACCTTCTACTTTGTGTTTATTCTCAAAACTCATTGCAGAGGCATGCAATAAGAATAATAAGAATGTCACCGGCAGATTCTATGACACTGGCTTTGAGGTGCTGTACACATTAAAATCCAAGAACACAGGAATTAAGACCACTTTTGTAAAGAAACAGTAGACGATTAAATTAAAGTTGGTTGAAAGAGAAACTACCTGGTTATGGAGTTTTTCATGTTTTGTGTAGATATGCATGAGACATCATCGCCACAGAATAAAAATAATACGCCGAAACATGTTCCATTTAGAATTGAACGTTCAAAACAGTCGTAAAAATAGTGGAGTTGGTTAAATGAAACACTGAAGTCAGTGAAGGGCTTATTTAAGACCGTTCGCCTCCAGAACCCGATTGTTTTTAGAAACAGGCACAGTAAGACAATACGCTATTAAGACAATGTTTCGTTTGTCAGTGAAATGTCCTTCCAATCCCAAGACCTGAAACAGCTGTCATGTCCAGCTGTGTTCAGACTCCAAGAAACGTGGTTCCTGCGAAGAAAAAGAAAATAGCAATATGTGTATATGAGGGCCCCTGTTACACAATGTATTATAAATGCCGGGTATTTTACTATTGTTGGCATCACTTATTTTCAGGTATTCATTCATATCATTAACGCCGCCGCTATGTAACTTGTTGTACCGAATGGAATCTGTTCCAAACTGCCATTGTCATTATATAACAACAAATGTAGCGATGACCATATCAACAGTGATTGCTCGCTTTGTAACGAACACGTGGTTCCTAACAAATGTGTGAGGACATCAGCGGTTCTGACTACTTCAACATGGCCTGCATCGATTCGCTAGTCAGTGGTAAGATGTGTACATATTTCCCCACAGAAAAACCTCAGCTGACGCAGTACGTGCTGCTTGAAAGACGCACCTTTTGAAACCACATTCAGATGTTACCGTGCCCCAGTACGCCTCAAGCCAGCTGTACACCTTTGTTCTGTGCCAGCTTGGAACTTACACTTTATGTTGTCCTTGTACCGTGGAAAGGACTCGTGGAAAGGACTGAAGGCATCAATATTTAAAAATCTAGAATGTGTATACATTTTCCGAAAGCCTTATACCCTACAATAAGTGACGAGTCTAAGTTCTGGCTTTAATGGTTGACTACAAACTGAAGCAGGTATACAATTTAACCCCATGATAAAAAACCTAATCTAATATTCTATACAGACCAAATACGGCTCCTGGTATCTAATTTTGTTGTTCAGAGCACCGACCAATTAAACCATCATTTTATTTCGTATGTACTGTCAGCGACATACATACAGACATTTCAAGGACAGATATGGAATGCCTGCCTGGGGTGACAATCTCTCATTCTACCTATTGCAAGCAGCTCGGCTCCCTGATCCCCGACCATCTTTAAGCCTGACTACAGTGAAACCCTGTCAGTCTGGACACCCGACCTTCTGAACGTTTACTGTGTCTATATCCAACTACATGACCATCACACGTATCCCTGATTCGTTGTCAGCTGAACATGGGTTAAATAGGAATTATTTCCTTGTGATGTGTCCCGTTAGGATAAAGGCGGTTTAGCTTCAAATATCTGCAGGATTAACAAGATTTATATTTTCATTTCAGTCAGAATCACACTCCTGATATTCCTTAATAATACGCACTCCTGATATTCATTAATAACATACGTTAAGTCTTGACAAGTCGCAAATAGCTGAGAAACAATATATCTTGTCGTAAATACATTATTATTTAACAATATATATATATGCTCATTTGTTAAGACTTTATTTACAGCTGTAGAATATGCTATTAAAACTAAACTACATTGAGCGTATTAAGGTACTCAGCGTCATAGACATATTGATTGAGATTACACGAATGTTTGCACAGCAGACCTGCCCAGTCTTCAAATTAATTCTGTCCTGTTTTTAAAAATGTCTTCGGCCAGATAAAGCTATAATATTGATCTTGCAGTCATCGAATCACGCATTACCATGTGTAGACACTTTTTGTCCATCTGTTTGTAATAAGGTAGACATCTTTTGAATATTTTTAGATATCTCACATTTAAAAACACATCATCATCTGTATCATACATATTGTTGCCACTATTACCAGTACTACCACCACCATTGGTATTTTTGGCAAGAATTAGATATTTTTTAGCAAAAATCATGCGTAAGCCCGAGCTATTTCATAACGGTAGCTACGCTCCTGGCATTGGTTTCATAAATCTCAGTCACAGTATCATGCCTCAAGGGACATATGTACTGTCTACTCCTCTAAAGGTGAGGTCTGTTTCGTCAGTTTATAATGTGATGGCGTCGGTTTCTATGATTTTACGAGCACTTCCTCCAGAAATGGCAGTCATGGCCAGTGTTATGCCGATCTGGCCAGACATCTGTGTGAGAATATCAATGCTAGACATGGAGGTAAAGTCCTAAAGCGTGTGTTGTTCCACCAGGACCAAGCCCCAGTATGAAGCTGGAACATACAATCTGAAAACCTGCGATCATCTGATCCTGACACAGCCAAGGGAAACATCTTATCTTTGCAAAGAGACTTTCAATCCTTCTGACTACATGGTCATCCAAGCCTTGAGAACCACAAAAAGATTCAGTTGTGAGTTTTATGTTCGAATTCGCGTAGCATTTCAGAAAACTAAACGCACCGAAACTTTGTTGACATATTCAGTAGGTAATGTACAAAACAGCCTTGACAAAGAGATACTAGCATAACTTATAAAGCCGAGTGCATATAGCCCAGAGATGTGCAGTGGATTTTACTGCACTTCTGTTAGAGATTTAGATCAGCTCAGACAGACTACTCATGTTAAATAGGTTCACGGTTTGTGTTTGATGGGCTACAGCGGAATTTCCGATTTCGATAAATACTATAGATATGCCTTTGTGGCTGTTTACAATTTCGATAATTGGTTCAATATAGGCATTAGACTATTGTATGTATTTACCGATGTTGCTTCACATTACGTCATGTTGGCCTCAGCCGATACAAAGACGCAATATGTACTTACATACTGAATATTGTACATGATATAGTAGATCGAATCGAATCTGGACCACCATTCCACCTAAGTGGAATGTGAGTGAGTGTGTGAGTGAGTGAGTGAGTGAGCGTGTGTGTGAGTGGGTGGGTGAGTATTGCTTTACACAACTTTAAGCAATGTTCCAGCAATATAGCGGCGGGGCTTCACACATTGTACCCATGTTGGGAATCGAACACGGATTTTTGGCGTGAGGAGCGAACGCTTTAACCACTAGGCTACCCAACCGCCCCCATGTGGACTACGAAGACAACCAAGTAAAGGATGCAGTGAACCAAGATACAGAACCTAACCACCCGATCCGTTGAGTCAGTACTTAAGGCAAACAGTCAAATATGGAACAGCTACTGTTTCGGTTGAACATTCACACTATGTTGGAAAATGATGTCATTGTTTTGAAACACAGCCAACATCACTGAGTCAAGCAGTCATGTAATCTATCTGACCCGTTCACCACGTTCCTAACGTACAAGACATCACACAGTCCGTCAGTGCTTTAATGAATGAATGATAAATGAATTGAACACTGTGGAAACCGCTGTTCGCCGAGTTGACACTTGTTGGGAAACAACAGTACCTTGTGTTTTCCCATGTACGTGTTTGTTACATTTAGGTCAATGTTTAGGTACAAGTTCCCCTCAGTGATTGTTCAAAGCGCTATATTATCATTACCCCTGTCACTGGATCAATGTGCACTAGAGATTGATTCTCAACCAGCTTAACTGGTCGCAAAGATGGGATACACAGTTGCTGTGTATAGTTTGTAGTGTTGGGAATTGGTTTCAATCTCATAATTGATGATTGGTTCATTACAACCGATCAATCATCGAAAATAATTGGTTAGCGTCATTTATCAAATTTTCCTGGTTATGTTTGTTAATGCATAAAAGGTAAAGAAAAAAACATGTAGTTCTTTCGTTTTCTTTGCAAATTGCACAACTTTAAAGGATGACTAGCATGTTAGGAACATGAATTTCATGGAGTCTTTAAAATAAATTCAATCATGAATTGGAAGAGCTTGTAGTGCTAATGAAATCTAACAGACAAAACCAACATTGTGAAAAATATTGTTAATGCAATCAAGTGTTCCAAAATTGATTGCGTTCGATTATTTGAAAACATGATCGATTGCTTGGTCGTTTTGTCACTGCGACCAATCTTCGATTATTTCAATTAAACGGACCACCACTATAAGTTTGTGTCTATTAGTCTTGAAAGTACGTGTTTGAACAAAGTCGAGAGAGGATTGTTATTACCTTGGATTACTGGGCATGGAGACCAGTCAGGTGGGTTACACGGTGTGGGTGTGGGTGTGTGTGTGTGTGTGTGTGGGGGCAGGGTGTAGGTGAACCCTAGTCATTCCGCACACAAAACATTGACCGTTAAACAAGCTGCACATGATGTCTTGAAATTAGTTGTGATGTCAGAAAAGCACAGTTTTGCTGTTCCTCCCCGAGAAAATAGTTGTGAACTAGTAACCCGAAATCTCTCCAACTAAAACCCCTTGCGCTGTTACTGCTGGACTTCTTTAAAGCGTCAAGACATGTTTCTATCACACAATGGCAGCACTTCATTCGTTAGTGGCAAATCTGATTGTTTAGGTTTTTACCTTCATCGTTGGATTGTCGACGAGTGGAAGTGGAAATATCAGCTTGTCATGTAATCAACAGACAGACAGACGGACAATTGTTTATTTACGTCTCACTTCTGTATATACAAATTGTATTTACAAACATTCAAAGAGTAAAATGTACAGAACCATTCTAAAGAGAGCTATGAGGAACAAAATCACATGTCTTCTAGTGAAAAATGTCTCTTGTCATGATGGCTCTAACAACACATCAGAATAACTCAGACAAAACCCATTTCAAGTGAATGTGCACTGAAGACATACGCAGGAAGGTAAATGCTGATGAGAACTGCAAAGATCGGCTTAAATTGCTGATCAAAGCACAATGTGTTTCCCCGGCCAAGACAAACATTTATGCCAAACACAAGCAATCATTGCTCGGATCAGGGTCAAGAGAATGTTTGTTGTCCCAACACGATGTGTAATGTATTAAGGACAACGGAGAACAACACCAGCCTCGGTATTGCAGGGAATCGATTTCCGATGAC